GAGCTGAGGAAAGAGATGTTCTTGGTCTTGTCTTGAATGTTGTAAAGCACAACTGCATCTGGGGAATGCTGCAGCTCCCCTCATGCACCTGGCAGAGCAAATGCCGGGGTAGTTCACACCATCAGTCTCTGCCATTAGACAATATATGAAATGTTCTGCTTTGACGTTAAGAGATGGATCTCATTATGTGACAGGCTCTCACCACCATGATTCACAAATGGAAGCTTCTGGCTCCGAGTATTTTTCTATCACGGCCCCAACAAGCCTTTCCCGGGCGACCACTGAACTTCCCCACAGCCCCCTTGTATACCAGCGCTTGATCAATATGCCACCAAAGGCACTGGTTATTTATCAGATGCGAGGCACAAACAGGCCCCTCTCAGGCCACTGCTGGAATGCCCCGCATGCCCCTACCATACCAGCATAGTCCATAGCAGCCATCACAGCCATCGCAGCCACTGACAGTTTAAAAATGTGCAATCACAATGCAATACGATTCAGAAGGTACGAGCTAAGGGTGCTTGCTCTATTCTTTGAAGTACGACTACACTGCAATTGGAGGATGATCCTCAGATGGGTCAAACTCCTGATGCTGCAGCCAGCATTGGCTGCCTCAGCTGTTCTACCAAGCAATTGGGGGGGTGTCCAGTGATGGATCGAGGTTCTTACTGCACCCAACCTTGATAGACACTGCAGCCCTTCCATAGACCCAACCTTTGCCCATAGGATCTAGAAGAAACGAGTTTCCCAAAAACTCCAATTCACTGGGAGCAATCATCCCTAGATTACACGAAACAAGTCTTCGACAAGTCGCTCATCAGAGAAAATATGCGTAAGACGTTCACTAGGAATAAATTATTCGCCTAGCACCTGTAAGTCCAAGAGGGTTCCTTGGGAGTTCTCTTCATTCCCTTAGCCGTGTAGCCTCCTCGAGTTAATACACCTCTCCGTTCTCAAAAAGGCGTGCTTCCTTTTGTTCAAAGAGATGGCGGAAGAGTGGGGCAGTTGAGCACGGACGGGAGGAGAGAGGGGGGGATGCGGAGGGGCAGAGCATTTGAGTGCAGAGGGGAGGAGCAGGGGGCAGGGCAGTTGTGTGAGCGGAGGGCGACGCGAGGAGAGGAGGAGCACGAGCAGCCGGGGGAATGTGAGCGGAGGGCAGTTGCGCAAGTAGTTGTGCGAGCGGAGGGGGGAGTGCAAGCAGATGGTGGAGCCGAGGGCGAAGGGGAGGAGCGGAGGGTGGAGGGGGAGCACTGGCGGAGGGGAGTAGCCACCAGCAGAGGGGGCAAGCAGGCGGGGAGCGGGGAGGGGAGGAGCAGAGGGCGGAGGGCAGAGGGGGGAGCACGGCCGAAAAGGAGGTGCGGAGGGCGCAGGGGGGGGGGCATGAGCTGCGGCCAGAGCGGGAGAGGTGGGGGCGTGGAGGGAAGAGTGGGGAGGGGCACGGGGAAGGAGAGGAGGAGGAGGAGAGTTGCGGGGGAAGCTAAGCGGAAGCGATGGGGGGAGAAGCAGAGGGTGGAGGAGGGAGTGGAAGCGAGGAATGCAGAGAGAGAGAGAGAGAGAGAGAGAGAGAGAGAGAGAGAGAGAGAGAGAGAGAGAGAGAGGGTGGAGGTGCACAGGCGCGGCAGGGGTGGAGGGCAGAGCGGGGGCTCTCTCTCTCTGTCTGCCTGTCTCTCTCTCTCTCTCCCCCCCTCCCTCCCTCTCTCTCTCTATGTGGCGCACGCGCATGGGCAGAAAGCGGCACATTGGCGGAGAGTGGGCGGCGCGCAGGCAGTGACTGGAGCACGGGCGTGTCGGGCAGAGGGCGGCGTGCTGGCGGAAGATGGAGCGTGGGCGGTGAGCGGAGCACCATTAGATGTCTCCCTTTTCTGGCAGCATCTGGTTTTACATCTTGCCAAGATCAGGACTGGAAGCAATCCGAGGTGTCCCAAAAAGGAAGACGATTCAAAAGAAAGTTAACCGTGGCAGACCAAAGGACATCCCACCAAGATACAATCTTGTTGCTAGATCGATTTTGATGAAAAGACTACATCTGGAAAGAAAACACTTGTACAGCCTTGTGATAAAGGCAGTTTGGGGCAGTGCAAGGTAGTCCGATGCCTCAGATTGCATGTATGCTTTCGAGATACTAGGAAAGGAGGCAGTTACGGCCTTAGGACTCCTCATACACCACCCCTTATGAGGCTGCAAAACAGCGCAGACATCCATCCAAGCAAGTCCTCAGCCTACCAACGTAGAGGAGGCCAGCCGGTTGGCCTCACTTCCAGTTGGCACACTTGAGAGAGTAACATCTGTGCATTGTGAGCTGCTGTGTTAATAGTGGACTCATTGCTGCTTTTTTTTTTTGCACTTCCTAGTATGACCAGCAGCAAATCTACACGTGAATTTTGAGATTTCTTGGCGGATAATTCTCAGTATTAAAAATCGCCAACGCTGGGGTGTCCATTTTCTTGCACACTGCAGCCAACCTCCTGCACTGCATGTTCCCACCAGTCCACAAGGTCCTCGACAACATGGCGGGCTCACCAGAATGATCATCTCAGAGTAGTGGGGGAATAGTGGTTTAAACCACCACTACCTCTGAGTCTCTTTTTGTCGAGGCGGAGTCACGCTGCATGCCAATGGATCACGAAGCACCACCACGAAGTTCTTGTTTTCTTTTGGCTGGGACCGCCAGCCTTTGTGGTCCGGTAGCCCCAAGGCCCCGAAGATTTCAGGTGAGGCTCAACTTCAACTTCGCGTTTGCCTGTGAACGGTAGCGGTGGGAAGTGGCATACATGTTAAAACACTCATTTTCATGCTGCCGAATTTGAGATAGAATCTAGACAAGAGAAGTGCTAAATGTGTCAACACACCACTTTACAAACTCCCTTCATGCAAGTCCGCACAAAATTCCAGAATAATCATGGTTTTTTGGTCAATTTGACAAATGCAAAGTGATCAGGTCAATCCAAGGCGATCTCCTGACTTTCTGGATTTGTGGTCAGCTGGGTGAAGAGTAATCATGCCTGAAAACCCGATGGTGTGATGCTGCTGTGGGAAGAGAGACAGCAGACGAAACCTTTTCCAGCTTTCTGGCAACAGTGTGTGTGCAGCACTACCCATTGGACTCTGACCCAGATGAGTGGCTTCTGCTGTATTTAGATTTGGATTTCACATCATTTGACACTTCGCAAAGTCCAAACAGTCACTTACCTTCACAAAATCTCCGTATGTAAGAACACAGTCTTCTGCGTATCCAGCTTCTTCAAAAGCCCGCTTTACAGCTTCCTGGCTCATCACCAGACAGTGTCACAAAATATGGCCACATTTCACAAACCTTCATTGCAAAAAAACGACTACTGGACATGACCACTCAAGGTGGTATACATAGTTTAGAGAAGGGTCGTCACTGACAACCTACAATGACATTTTCTTCCAAACCCTGGTACCTCGACCCTCATTTTCCCAACTCTCAATTTTGACTGCGGGTCCTCTCCAGACAATGTCACAAAATATGGCCACATTTACAAATCTTCATTGCAAAAATGACCTTGTACCAGCGAGCCTAGCGTAGTTGGTACACCCACGAACTGTTGAAATACGGAACCAAGCTTGAACCTGGACACAATCAGATGACCAGAAGAAAATAGTTCTGAATTACCTGGGGCCGGTGAGTTCAACAATGACATCTCGAGGCCAGTACTGGACATAACCACTTGAGGTAGTACATGTAGATTACAGAAGGGTTGTCACTGACAACCCAGAACGACATTTGCCTTCCAGACATCGGTACCTCGACCCTCATTTGCCCAATTCTCAAATTTGCCTGAAGTGGACTAAATCCTTCTGGGCGTCATAAGTTTTTGACAGGGAAAAGGCTTTTCTTCATAATTTTTTAATGTGTTTGACAGGAAAAGGACTTTTCTTCACATGTCTTACACTATAAAGTTATAAACCATACTTGTGCTGCATCGTGTACGGTCACGCACGGGCAGCACACGCCGCATTGCGCACATGTCATGTCCACACCGTGCGCCACATTGACGATATTAGCAGTCCCCCAAAAAAATAAAAAGGGGGCTCTTAATCTTGTAGTTCCGACGAAAATTGCGTGCTGATTGCACAATTTCTTCCTTTTGGGCTGCGCCAAGGCCTGAAAAAAAAATTGGTGGGAGGAGGCTTACGGGATCCCAACTTCGAATTCAAGTAGGTTTTGAAGTTGGCCATCCACCAACCCCCCAAATTGGCCATGGTAGTCCCCCAGACTGTTGCTCGCTCTCCACGGTGTGGTCCCCGAACCGCCTTCGCTGTCACGGGCGTCAACCGACGTCGCTGTCCTCCCACATAGCTGGCAAGTGCTGTGCAGGCAGGGGCAGCAGGTGGCAGGAGTTGAGGAGGTCTTTGAGCAGGTGAGTGACCACCAGTCTATCCACCTGCAACTCCTCTCTCTCTCTCTCTCTCCTTCCAAATTCCTCTATCCTCCGAGCTTTCGGCCTTCTTCCTCCATTTGAACGACATCCCTCCCTCTTTCCTCCATCTTTCAATGCCATCACTCCCTCCGTGCTCAACCTCTCCTTCATCGCCATCCCTGTCGCATACCCCACATCGTTTCTTCAACCACCACCGTTCTACTTCATCGACACCCCCATCCGCCTGCACACCGTCCTTCCCCCTTATATGTCACTTGTTCCCCCCATCCACCATCCCTACCTTCTTCCACCCTCCAACCACCATCCCTCCCTCCATCCACATTCGCCCCATGCATTGTTCTTCCCCCTTGTTCATCACTCGTCCCCCCCATCCACCATCCCTGCTCCTTCCTCCCTTAGACCGCCATCCCTTCGTCCTTCCTCCACCCATCCTCCATTCTCCATTTTCCATCCTTCAACCCCATCACTCCCTCCGTGCACCTTTCTCCTTCATCGCCACCGCCACCTTTTTCCTTCGTCGCAATCCCCATCAGCCCCATGCATCGTCCTTCCCCCACGTTCATCACTCATCCCCCCCATCTTCCTTCCCTCCCTTCTTCCTCACTTCAACCACCATCCCTCACTCCTTCCTCCACCCGTCCTCCATTCTCCATCCCTTCATGCATCCACCATCTCTCCGACTTCCTCCTTTTTTCTTTCTCTATTTCCTTTTTTCACTCATTTTGTTTTGTCAGCTTTTTATCCTCTTCCTCCGTTCAACTGTCATCCCTCCCTCGATCCTCCACCTGTCCTCCGTTCTCCATCCTTCATGCATCCACCAGCTCTCCATCCGTCACGCATCCGCCATCCCTACCTACTTTTTCCTCCCTTCGACCGCCATCACTCGCTGCTTCCTCCCGTAGGCAGAGAGGGAGAATATATATTTTGTTGAGGTGTGCTCAAATGTTTTGCTGTTATTTTCATATCCGTCGTGAGAGCTCTGTGGTGTATGCGTATTTGTATTAGTATAATAGTATGTATATATCGTCACAAACAGAACTGCCCGGTAAACCGTAGGCAGAGAGAGAGAAGAGGACAACAAACGAGGGGCTGTGACAAACTGTTTCGTCGGAGTTTCACCGACTCATCAGGAGGCTGAACCCTCAACAGTCTGCAGAA